GGTGCACAAGTGTTACAACAAAAGGAAAGGTTATTACATACATAATCTTGAAATAACAGATTTACTAGTGGATATGTAAGCAGATAGGCAAGAGGAGCAGGTATTGTTGGGCAAATGGGACAATATCCATGACCCCATATAGCTTTGGCAGATGTAGTTTCTACACATATATTTTTACGTATTGTGAAAGTATCCATATACGTAGTAGAGCAAACAGGGGCAAAGTTATGAAAACTTCTTAGCTACATCAAACACTTTGAGTGAATGAGTCAATGGACCTGGGGACTCAGGATAATAGTCTTGGGGAACATTGAGGTCAATTGGCGTAATTTAGTCCACAAAGGCAAAAATATATGAAATCATTTAATTATTTTAAGTAATTTTTGTGAGAATGTTTATCTGAAAATGTCCTAATTTCACCATCAAATCTGAGGGACAGTTTTGCTGGGTATAGAATTCTTGATTGGCAATTTTTTTTTTTTTTTTTAATTTCAGGGTTTTATATTTATCATCCCATTGCCTTCTTGCCTGTGTGGTGTCTGCCAAAAAATCACAGCTTAGCCTTATTTGTTGCCATTTTTAGGCTACTTTTCATTTTTCTCATGCTGCTATGAGTTTGGTTTTGATTAATTTGATTATGATATGTCTCAGTGATTTTCTTTTGAGGTCTAACCTATTTGGGGTTTGTTGAATTTCTTGAATGGATAACTTTTCATCTTTCATCATATTAGACAAATGATCTTCCAACAAATCTTTGACAATTTTCTCTGTGGTATTATTGGTCTCCCTATTCTAGAATTCTGATTACACATAGGTTATTCTTCTTGATGATATCCCACATAAATCTTAGGCTTTCTTCATTTTGTTTTTATCTTTTTTTCTGATAGATCCCTTAACCAAATAGTATTGACTTTTTTGTCCTAATTCTCATTATTCTGTCATCCATTGATTCCAATCTACTCCTTTGCCCATGGTATGTGTTATCTATTTCTGAAATCTTAGTATTAATCTTCTGGGTTTCTAGTTATTGTTTTGTATTGTTTCTAATTTTCCATATGTTACTGTCTTCTTGTATTGTTTTCCTAAATTATTCTAGAGTTTTGTCTTTGTTTTTCTTAATTTTATCAGTGTTTCCTTGATCTCTCAATCCATTGAAGGTACCTAAACAAAATTCCTTTGAATCCCTTATCAGGAAGTTCCAATGCTGCTTCTTCCTAAGGTATGTTTTCTGGGTCTGTATCTGGTTTCTTGTTTGTACTACTATATCTTGCTTTTTGTGTGTTGACTGGGATGGTCAGTTCTTTCCAAGACACTGTGACATCATGGTATTTATATTTAATTGGTAATTGTATATTGGTGTGATTCACTCAATTTTTTTTCTTTATTTTTTATATATCTGTGTGAGCAGGGTATTGTGGTCCTCTATTCCCTAGTTGGTAGCACTCAGGGACTCACCACCTGTCTCCTGGTTTGTGTGATAGAGAATGAGAATGTGTGTACAAGTCTCTGTAGCTGTTTGTAAAGGGAAGTTGAATGTGGGTTGGGCTGATATTGGCCAACATCTATCACTGTTCAGTTGGTATAGAAGCAAGTGGTGGTCCTCACTCAGTGGGTGGAGTGGCAAGAGGTGCAGGTATGGTTGTGTTGTGTGGGAACAGTTGCTGTTTCCAAATAAATAAATAAATAATAAAAATAGAACAAAAAACAATAAACAGAAACAATTGCCCAAAAAAAGCAATAAATGAGAAGAAAAATTTAAAATATATATATAACAAAAAGACAAGTGAAAGATAAGGGGCAAAAAAAACCCCAGAATATTTGGGTAAGTGGGAATGAGAGAAAAGAGCAGGAGTAAAAGGGTATTAAAGAAAAAGTGAGAAAACAGAGATGAGAAGAATAGGAAAAAGAAAGAAGGGAACCAGGAAAAGGGAAGAGAAAAATAAAACAACAGTGAGAACCAGGGAGAGAGAAAAAATAATAAAAAAGAAGAAAGGAAGACAAAAATAAAAAATGAAAACAAATGAGCAGAAACACAACTGAAGGTATGCAGCAGAGCACCTAAGCTCTGTCAGGGCACACAGACCAGGACGGAATCCCTGCAGGTCCAGAAGGTGAATGGTGGAAGGGGATGGCAGCATCTCTCCAATCATCAAGCATATGTGCAGTATAAGAGTAATAAGCAAAATATCATATATGTTCTGGTTGTCTAGTGCCACTCTGACAGGAATATACCACAAAAGGAATGGCCTTAACAAGCAGGAGTTTCTTCTCTTACAATTTGGAGACTTTAAATTCATGTTCAAAGTGCCAGGCTCTAGGGGTTGGGTGAAACCCCTTCAGCCTTGGGCTTCAGCTCTACCTCCAGCTCCTGCCCCCCTGTAGTTAGAGGCTTTTCTTCACTCAGACAGCTGCTGGCTGCTGAGGTTGCCAAGCCCAAGGTTGACAAATAAAAAGGCACAGTCCCAATGTTACCAAACCACATGGCAGGCCATTAATTCAAGTCCATTTTAAGTCCCTAGGTTGGCAGAGCATGGCAGGTTGCTAAACAGCAACATGGCTACATGCAGGGTCCAAGCATGCCATAAGCTCAAGACCATTCCTAAAGCTGCTTCTTATATACAGGAAGCAGACCACATACCCAAAGCAGCTATTCAGCTGCTCATGGAAGATCCCACCATGGAGTTGATTACCAATCTCACCATGGAGAATAACTACCACCAGCTGCCCAGTCACTCAACCAGGCCCAGCCAAGTTGACACACAAACTGAACTATCACAATTCTACCCCTTGTCAACTTGGCATCTGTACAGATCTTCATTGGGTGGCATCTGTACAGATCTCTTCCACTGGGTGGCTTCAGTCCCCTAGTTCTTTTAAGTGGCAACCTCAAACCCTTGGCCTGGTGGGCCTCCTTCCTCTCCCTCTTGGGCATGGCAGCCCTGTCCCCTCACTCTTGGTCGGTGGCTCTGGCGCCATCCCACTGGCTCACATGAACGAGCAGCCCCACACTTCAGAACCAACTTGGTGAGGGCCTGGCTCTTGAAATTTAGGGGGCTATTGTGGTTCCACCCCCCAAAGGCCATGGTCCTGCCCTTTCAGTCTGAGGCAGCTCTGCTTCCGTTTCCTTGGTCTCTCCGCTTTTGCCAATTAATGCCAAAGGCAACCCACTCTGCCGGAAATCTTCCTACCACAAAAGCACTCAGTTTTCTTGCTTTGTGGACCAGCCAACCTGCTACTCCATTTCATGCTGGTCTTTTCTACCAATTAATGCCTGAAAGCAATCCATTCCACCAGGAAGCCACCTACTCAATGGTACCCAGCTTTCTCCTCCATGGGCTGGTAAGTCTGTTGCTGTTTAATGCTGGTCTCTTGGCCCGGCTGTTGCCAACTCTCATGCTGTATGCCAGGGTCTCTCTGCCAGGGTCTTGGGTCAAGGACACACTCCACTCTTTTTTCCACAGTTTAGGTATCTGTCAGAGTAGCATCCTACTCTCTTGGTACCATATTCTGTTCTGGTTACCTAGTGCAGCTCTGACAGGAATATACCACAAATGGGATGGCTTAAACAAACAGGAGTTTATTCTTAAAATTTGGAGGCTGTAAGTCCAATTTCAATGTGCCAAGCTCTAGGGGCTGGGAGAAATCCCCTCAGCCTTGGAGTTCAGCTCTGCCACCAGCTCCCGGCCCAATGAAGCTAGAAAAAGTGAGAAAACTGGAAGGAAACAGGGT